CCCCCCTCCCACTCCCAACACCCTGGAATCATGTACTGACTTAAACGCAAATCCAAGTACAGGGTGATAAAAAAAACCCAACTCTACAACTTTTTAAATGAATATCTCGCACAAAAATTGTTATGGAATGCTGTAATTTGAAACCGACAAATTTCATTCAAAAGGAATTTTTGTGACATAAAATCCAAGGAAGACGAAACTTGTTTTGAAAACGGACCTAAAAACGCAAAGTTCTCCAATTTAAAAAAAAATCTTGTAAAGGAAGTCATGAAAAGATTGGTTGACTTTTCTCTTTATTTCCTCTTTGACTTTAATTTTCCATCCCTGTGACATTTAAACAATATTTAATTTCTTTTACACAGTTAATAAAAGCTAACGATTTCATTCTGAAATTCCTAGAAGCAGTGCTCTACACGGACTCTCCTTTGGACTCGACACATTTTTATCGCGTAGTTTGAATGTTCAATGGCGCCCAAACACCAAACCTACTAAACCATTAGCGTTTAAAGCCACATACACTGCACATTTTCAGTGTGAAGTGGCCTCTAGAGACAATAGGGAGTGGGGTGCCCAATAGACAGCATAATTTGGTGTTAACATATCCCGCAGGGTGAAAATGGGCTTTGCACTAAACGAAATGCCATCGAGGAAATAGCCTGCTTTTCAAGGCAATCGAGGAATCATGAACACATTGCCACACTCTAATCCATGTCATCTCGGCCTGGCGAAGATGAAAATGGTACAGTCGTAGGTTAAGATTGCCATGAGAAGGCAGACTGTTGAGGTGTAGAAAAGTCCTAACAGCAGATCGTCTACGGACAGACATCTCATGCAACTCGGCTTCTGAAATCTGTACCCTGGTGACGTTTAAAGGACTGTGCACGGTGCATGTTCGACCTACAGTGGTCATTTTAGAGGAAATGTTTAGTACTGATTCGCTATAGATCCAAATTGACGGAACTTCTCTCTTCATGACGTCAAAGGTCTTGATGGCACCTAAGCATTCTGTCCATGCCGTGCGCAGAACTAACGAAATGTCAAGGATGGCGGGTTTGCGGAGAAGTAATTTTCAATACAAAAAGCTTCCTGCTCTTTACTAAACAAACGTAACCATGATCTCAACAGGCAAACAAAATGTGGGTAAAATAATATCTGCAAACTTCTGTTGACGTGTTAGACTTCTGTAGCTTGCAATATGGCGCGATTCCAGGAACTTTTAGTGATAGGCCTAATGCAAACTGGTGCGTCATGCTATAAAAATGTCGACAAAGTTGAAAATAGTTGTTTTTTTTATGCGCCATATAGAGCAAAACAATTCAATGGACTTATCTCAAATGAATATCAGACAAATTCCTTTTGGCTTCCAAATGTTGTGTTCAAATCTAAAACGTAAAACTTCAGTATGAAGGAAGATATTAAAAAAAATCCCAAGTTGTACAGTTTTTTTATCACCCTGTATATCTCCTGACTTGAACACAAACCTATATATATCTATTGGCTTGAACACAGACTTTGTATATCTACTGACTCGAGTACAAACCTTCTAAAAACACTTCCATACCCTCTTGCATGAACACAAATACAATATCACCTCGATGACGTCAGAGGTGTAAAACAACACACATCTTTAGAGACAGATACTCTTCGGCAATTTGTTCAAGTCATACGTTTATCTCATTTTTAGAAAATTCATTATGAGTAACAAAGGCGTTGTCTTTATTTCAAACTTCGAATACTGCTTTTTTTTTTTTTGCAATGTAGAATACTCTTTGTTTATAACAGTAACAGATCATGTGTCCAGAATATTTCAGTTCAAGGCAACGCGCAACCAGATAGGAGAGAGTGCTGTACTGGCAGCCAATCTGGAATAATTAGCCACTCTGTGGTGTTTTGGGCAACTTAATGTTAGCAAATCTTTTCCAAAGTATTAGATTGGCAGTTAGATAGTTAGATACAATCCCAAGAAGAAAACCCACAAAATCCTACAAAAGCTTGCAAATTACACATAAACCCATAGAATCAACTAAACTCACAAAAATCAACCACAAAACCCACAAACCTAAACAAACCCTCAAAACCCACCAAATACCCACAATACCTACAAAACCCCCACAGCACCCCACAGAAACCCATAGAGCAAAACAACAACACCCACAAATAGATCAACAACTGACAGAAACCCATTAAAAATCAACAAAACCCACGAAAAATCAATAAAACCTAACCAAAAAAAACCCACACAAACCTGCAAACCCTTTTACACTTGTGTGTCTACAATATTATGAAAAGAAAATTTGAGTGTGCGAGATCAGGGTCCAGAGTTCAGTTTTTAGATTTCAGATTCCACAGTTTAGAGTTTGGAGTTCAGAGCTCAGTGTTCAGGGTTCAGAGTTCAGAGTTCAGAGTTCAGAATTTAGAGTTCAGAGTTCAGACTCTGGAGTTCAGAGCTCAACGTTCAGGGTTCAGAATTCAGGGTTCAGAGTTCAGACTTTGGAGTTCAGAGTTCAATGTTTAGGTTCAGAGTTCAGGGTTCAGAGTTTAGAGCTCAGTGTTCAGAATTTAATAGTAAACCAAATGTGGAAAACAACAGAAACAGGCAATTATTATAATGTCTGCTTCAGATCAGGTCAGAGGAAACTTTCCGCAAAAATGTTTGTTACCGTAACCTAGAGAAACGCATTAGTTGATTTGAGTTTGAGTTTGAGTAAAGAAAAGCACACGACAAAATACTGGCCAAATAGTGTGAGTAAAGAGAAGCACATAGACATAATAACGGCCAAATAGTGTGAGTAAAGAGAAGCAATAAAGATGTATCTTATCTTATCTTATCTTATCTTATAGACACAATAACGGCCATATAGTGTGAGTAAAGAGAAGCACATAGACATAATAACGGCCAAATAGTGTGAGTAAAGAGAAGCAATAAAGATGTATCTTATCTTATCTTATCTTATCTTATAGACACAATAACGGCCATATAGTGTGAGTAAAGAGAAGCACATAGACACAATAACGGCCATATAGTGTGAGTAAAGAGAAGCACATAGACATAATAACGGCCAAATAGTGTGAGTAAAGAGAAGCACATAGACACAATAACGGCCAAATAGTGTGAGTAAAGAGAAGCACATAGACACAATAACGGCCATATAGTGTGAGTAAAGAGAAGCACATCGACACAATAAGGAACATATAGTGTGAGTAAAGAGAAGCACATAGACATAATAACGGCCATATAGTGTGAGTAAAGAGAAGCACATCGACACAATAACGGCCATATAGTGTGAGTAAAGAGAAACACATCGACACAGTAAGGAACATATAGTGTGAGTAAAGAGAAGCACATCGACACAGTAAGGAACATATAGTGTGAGTAAAAAGAAGCACATAGACCCAATACTGGCCATATAGTGTGTTAGTGTGTTATGATTGTTTGAGCGAAGAGAAGCACATAGACACAATAACGGCCATATAGTGTGAGTAAAGAGAAGCACATCGACACAGTAAGGAACATATAGTGTGAGTAAAAAGAAGCACATAGACCCAATACTGGCCATATAGTGTGTTAGTGTGTTATGATTGTTTGAGCGAAGAGAGGCACATCGACACAATAATGGTAATTTGGTTTGTTGGAAAAAAAACTCAGAGGAAAAGAACAGACATAGGACCTACCAGTGGCGCCCTCCAACCACCCGCAAGCACCAGTAGTGGTGGCCTTCTTGAGTGTCTATTTTCATCCCCTTTTCAAGAATTTATGCCCAGCGATTGTGGGGAAATGATGCGCTTCCCACATCGTTCTATTAGATCTATTATTATGCCACAACCCAGCCCAATCGCTACCGACTCTAAACACTAATCAGAGTGAATAACTATCATCTTTTCTGGAAATTATTCAATTCTCGCCTTCTGACCCAGCAGACGTTTCGTGCCTAAATTACCACTGATCTGTTTTTCTCTGCTGCCCAGAGATATCCGGCCTAAGCCTGAAGAAGAGATTATTTACGCCCTCTAGTGACGTCACGGGTGTAAAATATCGGCACCTCGTCGCCGAGATCGATGTATGTCTTTGACAAAGTTAAATGGTAGTGGTGTTTCTTTCCAGGCTCTCTCCTCTCTTATCCTCGCAGTTCCAATTGTCGTTTTTTTCTTCTTCTTTTTTTTTTAAGTTAAAAAAATTGGTGCACATCTTTGTCCAGGGAAGCTATAATCCTATCCTGGACTGATAATATATTCTTAGTTTTGAAGGATATATTCCTAGTTTGGGCAGACATATTCCTAGTTTGGGCAGATATATTTCTAGTTTGGGCAGATATATTCCTAGTTTGGGCAGACATATTCCTAGTTTGGACAGATATATAAGATTTTTCGTCAGAAAAGGTACTTTCTTGGTACAAATACACATATACATCCATAGGCCTACACAAACATGCACACTAATATGCATACATACATGCACTTACATACACACATGCTCACACATACACACATAATATTGTTGATAATAATAATAATAATGATAATGATAATAATAATAATAATAATAATAATAATAATAATAATATATTGCATTTATAAAGCACAAACTCATTTTTTTGGTAAGTGTTTTACGGCGCTCGCAACTGCATAAAGTCATATGAGTGCGCGGGGCACATTAAATATTTTAAGTTGGTAAGAAATTTTGAATTTTGCCCGGGTGACGGTCGAAGTCCACTCTTATCGATCCTAGACCACTAGGGGGTCTTTAACGTACGCAACTTGC